GTAAGGAAAAATTACAAGGCATATAAGATAGTAGTTTTGAAAAAAATAAGTTACAGAAACTGAATTTGCAGGTGACAACCACTCCATTAAGAAAACAAAACTCAAGTGGCTTCACTAGGAAATTCTATCAAACATCTACCAAAGAAACAATATCAATTCTATAGGACTTCTTCCAAGAAAATGAAGACAGACATACAGTAATTTAAAACACTTCTGAGGCCAAGAGTACTCTGATATCAAAGCTAGACAAAGATATTTCAAGAAAATAAAACAACACTCCATATCCCTCACATACAAAGATGCAAAAATGTTAAACAAAATTTACATCAATGAGATCTTGGGGATATAGGTATTTCACTATCTTGACTACAGTGAAGGTTTCACAAGTATACGCATTTATTGCAACTTATCAAACTGTGAACTTTAAATACGTGCAGTGGACAGGTAGATGGCTCGTGTCTATAATCCTAGTGCTTTGGGAAGCAGACAGGGGAGAAACCCTTGAGGGCAGGAGTTTGAGACCAGCCTAGGTAGCACAGCAAAACTCTGTCTATACACACAAAAAATTTTAATTAGCCAAATGTTGTGGTGCAAGTCTGTAGTCCCAGCTACTCAGGAAGATGAGCTTGCAGAATGGATTGAGACCAAGAGTTTGTGGATACAGTTAACTGTGAACCCACCACTGCATTCCACTCCAGCCTAGGCAACACAGTGAAACCCTGACTTAAACAGCAAGCTAGAAGCAGTGGCTCACACCTATAATCCTAGCACTCTGGGAAGTCAAGGTGAGTGGATTGCTTGAGCTCAAGAGTTTGAGACCAGCCTAAACAAGGTGAGATCCCTGTCTCCACCAAAACTAGCCAGGCATTAGTGTTGGGCTCCTGTAATCCCAGCAACTTCTGGGAGGCTGAGGCAAGAGGAATTCTTGAGCCCCAGAGTTTGAGGTTCCTGTGAGCTAAGAAATCATGACACTCTATCCAGAGCAAAAGAGTGAGACTCTGTCTCAAAAATTATATACATATGTACATACATACATGGGCTTCTGTGAAGTATCTAGCCACATAATATGAAAAGTAGAGACATACATGGCTGGATCCTTTCTGAACATGCAGTTTATTTTACGTCAATTATAATACCTTAATAAAGCTATTTGTAAAAAACACAACATATAAACCCTTGATCTTCAGCCCTTACCTCACCACAGCTGGTCTAAAATTGCCCTATCACTCCAACAGAAGGCTGCAAGTTTATTCTCTAGAGGGGACAAAATAAAATCTCTTAACTAAGAGAACATGTACAATTAAGGATGGGAGTACTGATGTTTTACAATATTTATAAGAATATTTAGTAAGGCTCCGCGCCTATAGCTCAACCGGCTAAGGCGCCAGCCACATACACCTAAGGTGGCGGGTTCAAATCCCCAGCCCGGACCCGCCAAACAACAATGATGGCTGCAACCAAAAAATAGCCGGGCACTGTGGCGGGCACCTGTGGTCCCAGCTACTTGGGAGGCTGAGGCAGTAGAGTCACTTGAGCCCAGGAGTTGGAGGTTGCTGTGAGCTGTAATGCCACAGCACTCTACCCAGGGGGACAGCTTGAGGCTCTGTCTCAAAAAAAAAAAAAAAAAAAAAAAAGAATATTTAGTAAATATTTATGTATCGAATTCTACCAGCAAAACTGTCAGTTATATATAAAGATAAAATAAAAAGTTTCAGACATGCAATCAAAAAAAATTTATTCTTATTACCCTTCCTTGAAAGCTACTAAGGGCAGGGTAATATCAAACTAAGTAAGTAAACCAAGTGAGTCAAAACCATGGGAATAGGGCGGCGCCTGTGGCTCAAAGGAGTAGGGCGCCGGCCCCATATACTGGAGGTGGAGGGTTCAAACCCAGTCCCGGCCAAAAACTGCAAAAAAACCCCAAAAAGCAAAAAACACGGGAATAAGAAAATATAGGATTCAACCCAAGGAAGAAGTGAAGGGACGCCCCAGAATGATTAAAAGAATGATTGCAAAAAAAAAAAAGAAATAAAACTTAAGTGGGTATCTTAAAAAAAAAAAAAAAAAGAATGATTGCAGAAGGAATCTGTATATAAGTGAGAAATTCAAAATTCCAAAAAATAAGTTCAAGATAAGCAAATATATCAAATATTTATGCAACACTATATATTTACTTATTTACTATATGCTTCATATGCACCTATACCTAATCTAAAATATAAATACTACAAGGACAGAATTTTTGCCATTTTGTTCACTGCTGTATTCCAAACAACTAACATAATGCCTGCTATCTGTGTGGCATTTGATATTTCCTCAATCAGTAATTTTGCTATTGTTGTCATTGTTGTTGTGAGACAAGGCCTTGCTCTGTCACCTGGGCTACTAGAATGCAATGACATTATCACAGCTCACTGCAACCTCAAGCTCCTAAGTTCAAGTGATCCTTATGCCTCAACCTATAGTAGCTGGGACTATGGCACACACCACCATACCCAGGTAATTTTTCTGTTTTTCGCATTTATGGGGTCTCTCTCTTACTCAGTCACAAGCAATCCTCTCATCTCAGCCCAAAGTTCTAGGATTACAGGCATGAGGCCATTGTACCTAGCAATAAGTAAAAATTCAAAATTTTAGTGTAAGAATCACTATATGTAAGTAATTTTCAATAATACAGTATTTTTTCCTCTCTAGGGAATAAACTTACAGCCTTCTGCTGGAATGATAGGGCAAGTCACAAAGTGGGCAGATTTTATTTTTCACATATTTTTTTTAGAGACAAAGTCTTGCTTTATCACCCTCGGTAGAGTACTATGGCATCTCAGCGCACAGCAACCTCCAAATCCTGGGCTTAAGCAATTCTCTTGCCTTACCCTGCTGAGTAGCTGGGACTACAGGCACATGCCAGAACACCTGACTATTTTTTTGTTGCAGTGTGGCTGGGGCCAGGTTCGAACCTGCTACCCTCAGTATATGGGGCCAGCACCCTACCCACTGGGCCACAGGCACCACCCAAGTGGGCAGATTTTAACCGTGTATATTTTGCCGTGTATAATACTGAACACTACTGCCCAAATTTTAGAGGGAAAAATAAGAATGCATATTATACATGGGTAGTACTAATTCTGTCTCTATATAAATGTTTTAAACTCTTATTTATGCTTACAAGTATGCATTAAAGTGGAACTCTAGAAAATAATGATATCCATATGCAAAATATTACACTGGAATACAATAATCCCTCCTGATGCTACCTTCCTCCCTAGGCAGGTACCACAGTACAGGAGTGTCCAGCCTGCTCGACCAACCATGTCATGCTAGACACTGCCGCTGCTGCCATCTTGAAAACAATCACACCATGGACAGCAACATGACAGCTAGCATTGGAACCAAGGTTAAAGGACGGCAGAAGTGGCTGCGTGATAGTGGCTCCTTCTCTTGCAAAATAAACAAGGTGTGAGAAGCTGGGAGCAAGCCCAGGCAGCAAGTAAAAGTGGTTCAGACAACCTGAGCACCAGACCTCCAGCAACAGTCTCCTCAGAGCCCACCTCCTCCCCACATCCTCTCATTTCATATTCTCACCCATGTCCATCGGTGAGAACATGGCGATGAATGCTCTGCCAAAAACCCCAGTAGGCTTATTTCCTAGGAAGCTGGTGTGAGGGGCCAGAGCTGGTGTTGCCTGCTGCAGGCTACTGATGGTAGATCCCGGCCCCTTCTGGGCTGCCTGATCTCTCCCACAGCCGGCCCCATTCTGATGCCACCAGGACACTGTGCTGAGGAAGAAAACCCTGAGCTGGGGTCTCGGAGACCTGACTCCTGACACCAGGTTCTAGGAGTAGTGCACTGTTGTGACCTTAGGCGTCAGTTCCTATTAAGTTTCTGTCTGCAAGGATATCTGGAAGTAAAGCATGAATGATTAGGGGTATACCTCAGAACAGAGATTGTAATTTTGAGCGTTCGACTTGTCCAGACCCCCAAGGTGTTGAGGTGGTATAATTTCCCAAACTTGCCAGTAGGAAGAACCACCTAGGATGCTTGTTAAGAACAGATACTCAAGTCATTCCCCCAGAGAGCTGATTCAGTGTTCTTAGGTATGGTTCAGAAGTCACATTTTAGCCAGTCCCCCAGGTAATTCTAGGATATGCAAGTTCAAGAAAGGCTAGTATCGTTCTTTCTGATGTACTGCATGTCCAAAGTCTGCACAGCTCACAGAGGTCACAGTCTAGTCACTAAATAGAAATGTAAATGCACAGTACTTCACTGGGCTATCATCAGGGAAGGCTCCCTCCTCAGTACAGTATCCCCAGGGCCTCAGAATGGGGCCAGCTGCAGGACAGACAAGGACTCTGAGAAAAGGCAGGGATCTACTGTTAGCAATCTGCAGCAGGCTCCTCACACCATCTTCCTGGGAAAGCAGCCCACAGAGGTTCTCAGAGGAACAGCTATGGCCACATTCCCACCAACAGAAATGGGTGAGAATAGGAAATGTGTGGATGTGGGGGTGAGGGTGGGCTGTGAGTGGACAGCTAGGGAGGTCAGGCACTCAGGTACTCTGGCCCACTCTCACCTGCTGGCTGGAGTCTCTGCAGTAGCTGGCTCTACACCTTGTGCCAGGGAAGGAAGCTGGTGTGAGGGGCCAGAGCTGCCCTCCTTTAAAAAATTAAAATGAAAGATTTTTTCCCCCTGCATGTTTGGCCCAAAGATGTGAATGCATATTATACACGAGGGCACATTATGCACAACATAGTATACAAATTTACAATCTCCATGGGTTATTCTCAGTAAAAATAATTCTATTCTTTGAAGACAAAATAAATCTTATTAATGTAGTTCTCAAATCAGATGATTTTTATTTTATAGAAATTCCCAATATAATACCTAGATCCACAGATCTTTTGATTTCACATAGATAATCTATTTAAAAAAAAAAAAAAACTTTTAAAGCATATAGACCAAAAAAGATCAAGACAATTTCATAACATTTCATATTTAATCACCTGGTGCTCCACCTCCTGAAGTAAGGATTCCAACAGCTCTGTTTCTTGCGTTAGAGATGTCTTCTGACCTGTTCAAAAAAAAAAAAAAAATAGCAAAACATCAACACCCAGGTTCATTACCGGTTTAATAATGAAATTAACCTCCAGTGAACATATTAAATAACAAAGATCCCATTTTAAGTAAGGAGAAATTCGTCATTACAGATACCCTAAAGATTTTCCTAGTGCTTTAATATTACAGTAGCTTTGAAAGGAGAACTTCAAAACCAACCTTCACTAGTTAAAATTTAGACAAAATGCAATTTAGGTCTACCAAATGATTCTAAAAAATATACAATGACAACATGCTTTAAGTAAAATATTTACTTTTCTCAATCTTCATGGTTCTTTTATAGTTTAGTTTTTTTGGGTTTTTTTGAGAAGGAGCCTCAAGCTGTCACCCTGGGTAGAATGCTCAAAAGCAACCTCCAACTCCTGGGTTAAGCAATTCTCTTGCCTGTAAGAGATTCTTAAGCGATTCTCCGTAGCTGAGATTACAGGCACCAGCCACAACACCCAGCTATTTTTTTGTTGTAGTTGTCATTGTTGTTTGGCAGGCCCGGGCTGGATTTGAACCCGCCAGCTCTGGTGTACATGGCTGGTGCCTTAGCCTCTTGAGCTATAGGCGTCGAGCCAACAATCTTCATGGTTCTTTTGGAAGAAGCAATACCATGAATTTTGTTCAGTTAATTAAGCTGAAATAATTTTTCCCCAAAATTGCAGCTTTAAAAAGGGATGTATGGCTTGGTGTCTGTAGCACAGTGGTTACAGCAACGGCCACATACACCAAGGCTCATGGGTTCGAACCTGGCCTGGGCCAGCTAAACAATAATCACAACTGCAACAAAAAAACAGTCCAGTATTGTGACAGGTGCCTGTAGTCCCAGCTACTCGGGAGGTTGAGGCATGAGAATCGCTTAAGCCCAAGAGTTTGAGGTTGCTATGAGCAGTGACACCATGGCACTCTACGAAGGGCGACATATTGAGACTATGTCTCAAAAAAAAAGGGGGGGGGCATGGATGTAGTAAGCAGGCCATATCTTCACGTAAAATGTAAACAAAAGGTCTGTCCTTTGACACTTAAGTACCTAAAAAAAAAAAAGGCCCAGAGGTAGACAGTCTCAAAAAGCTGGAAAGAGAGCAGTTGAAAAAACTGTTGCAGACATTATTGGTTTTTTTTTTTTCCTGAGATAGAGCCTCAAGCTGTCGCTCTGGGTAGAATACCGTGGCATCACAGCTCCCAGCAATCTCCAACTCCTGGGCTCAAGCGAGTCTCCTGCCTCAGCCTCCCAAGTAGCTGGGACTACAGGTGCCCACTACAGGTGCCCGCCACAGCGCCCAG